CCCCGGCGGCCCCAGCGGCGGCGTCGAACGCACCACACGCAGCGTGAGGTGGACAAATAATTTTATTCGTGCATGCAAATACATGTCAAATACTGCAAACTTCTTCCATCAATTCTCTCAAACACGGAGAAAAAAAATCATTAAAAAAAAAAAAGATGCTCTAAGTCTGTGAGCAGCCCCCCCAAAAGCTAGATACCTCTTCACGTCAGTGCGACAGCGAACACGCACACAGCAGCAGCGCGCGGCCCGCCCGCCCGGCCCGCGCCTACTCTAGCACAGGGAAACAGCACGAGCGGGGAACCCCAAACAAACCGAACAGAACTTATTCCCCCATCTATTTCCTCCACCCCCCCTCTCATTTTACAAGATTTTTATTTTTTTTAAATTATAGTTTTTAAATAGAAGCTGAGAATGCGCCATAAAAATGAGCATTAAATCCATCGTAGCGATGGTGCCTGCTTTATACATGATGGGTGTACACCATCTTTTATTTCATTTACATTTCAATCGAACAATAGATTTGCAAAGAAAATGTCTAATACAGACGTAAAAATATTCACACTAGAGCTTCACAATCGGTTGTACAATTGACAAACAGGCCTCTTTTCCCAAACTTTCCAGCTAAGCGATTCTTTTTTAATAAAATGTAATCAATGCAACAAGAAAAAAAAATTTTTCCTTTAAAACTTCCAGGGAAAAGAATACGCAGTAAACAGTATAAATGCGGACAGCAGATGCTGCAAGCTAACCACAATACTTCTGAGTGGCTGTACAGTGGGTATGTGCAGTACAAATAAAAGCCACGTGTGTTGTATCACAACTACCGTAAAATGTACTTGTTTGCCCAGCTAAGAAAACGCATGCATTCCCATGCCTTGGGTAACGGAGATCTACTTGGAGAAACGGTTGGGCTATGTGCAAATGACCTTGGCTTTTGGCAGCAAAAGTTGCAGCCAGGCTCTGTTTTATTTCACCTTTCACAGCTGACTTTTCATTTAAACTTTCCATAAATGTTTTTCCCCCCATCCCCAAGTAACGAGACATAGTTTTATGTTTGGGTACAGGGAATTTTGATCCTTCAGATCCATTTGATCTAATCGACACCTTGTTTTTTTTCCCCCTTTATCTCTATTCTGCTCCCCTGCCAGTTAAGATATACATGGTGATAACTACTGCCAAAGTCAGCTGTTCATTTATACTGGTAAAATTGGGTCATTTAAAAAGCACATTTACTGTGTTCTGCTTGCAGAAGAGGTCCCTCAATAAGAGGGAATTTCCTAACAAAAGGGATTAAGCTACAACAAAGAACGGATTTTTACATACTACAGATAAATTCAATCATATAGATAAATTCTTATTTTGTTACTCTCAAATTCAACAACTTCCTTTAGTAAAGTCTAGTAATAATGAAAAATCTGTTCACAAATATGATCAAGGAGCTGCTGGCATACAGTGTTTATGTACAGCAACAGGTAGAACTTGACAACTTGTGCTTTAAAAAAAGCAAACAAACAATACTTGGAACTATTCTGAGCTTAGATAGAAGTTATCTTTAAGTATTCCTTCCTCATCTCTGTCTCACCACTGTGCATTATTTTGTACCTCATTCAGCCTAGTACACTATTATACAAGAACAGCCTTCAGCTCTTGAGTACAGGATAAATTAAGATTTCAATTGTGTTATCAAAGCACTAAAACCTTCCAAATTAGACTTCAGCAAAGAGCAAATAAGAGCTCATTTAACACAATCTGCTGCACACAACTGCCTTTCTTAAGTGTCAAACTTTAGTGTCCCTGTACTAGACTACCAAGAACCAACACCAGTTTGCTTTGCAAAGAGTCTAACCTTTCCTTTGAAGGGTCTAGTATACATTCTACAATGCAAAATCTGCATAAACACTAAGATTCTTTTCTTGTCACCTGCTTACAGGAACGAAATATCAGTAGCAGGGCAATCACTCTGCTATAAATTATGTTAAGAACGTACAGATAGTTACTTTCTCACACAAGCATTCTCCCAGCACAAGCATTAGTCTCTATTAAGACCTATGTGGGAAATGAGGCAAAACAAGGAATGAATCAAGGTAGTGAGGCAACACGATTAACTTAGATTCTAATAATTCCTGCATCTCTTGCATGTGAAATCCCTGCTGTACCCCTAATAGGGGAAAAAATAAAAATAAAAATAAACAATCCAAAATGCTTGTCCGAGCAAAGCGAAAGAGCCAATCTCTTCTCCCCAATCTGCTATGGGCCTTTTTCTGACAGCAAGGTAAGTTAGGCCAAAAATCACCAGGAATTACTGCTATTATTCATCAAGATTAGTCACTATGTCWGTGTCAGAAAACAAGCCCTTCCATAGCCCAAAGGCACCTGATTTGCAACTAGACAAATGAATACATACTTGTTTTGTTTAGGGTCAAGGGATGAAACTTCAAAGAGAGCCAGAACTAGGATCCCACCTGGAGCTTCTACTCATCAGGGCACTGGAGGGCACAGTTTTACAGCAAAAAAAAAAAAAAAAAAATTAAAAAAAATCTTTCACACAATCTGTTAAAATTTTAAGACAAAGCTGGCATGCTACTAACCCCGCCGAATAATTCTTTTGCCTGTCATTCTACATATTAAAATTCCAACAACAACAACAACAAAAAATAGCCTCATCTAAGAGCTAACTTTCCATACAAAGTATATGGTCATCCTAGAGAACTGTTATATCATGGGACCTCCTGCTGCAGACAAGAGTATATAAATACATTTGTTCTTAAATACGCCAGTAAGGTTGGCAGGAATATGTTAGGCTTATGTCATTTCACTGGACAAACAGGCAAATGGGTGTAAGCAGCTTATCTCAATCCCCCTCCAGCAGAGCACAACCAAGTTTTTAAAATTGCAATTTTAAAATTAAAAAGTTAAGGTAAATACACAATCAATTTATGTAGTATATATTCACCCTCAGATCATGCTGAAGATGTTCTGTGGAGTTCTGGTGCACAGAGGGCTCTTTCCCTGAGGGCAAGTAAGGACTTCTCAAACCTTTATAGTTTCTCTATTTTTGTAACAAAATAGCAATTTAAAATTTAAAAATCTTTTTAAAAAAATTACATCACCTTCAACATGGAAGATCTCACTGTTTTAAATATCCATGAAAGAGACATACTTGTTTGCATATCTGTTTTGGAATTACATTGTACAGCAAATAATATCATCTCAGAAGCATTTCAAAAGTAATATAAATTCATATTTACAGAATGGTCTAGGTATAAAATATACAACAATCATATTTATGTCTAACTTGTAAGTTAAAGTTAACATCAACAGGAAATAAGTTAAGGTGATAAAGGTGGTCTGGTTCTTGTATCCATTCACTTTGAGTTGCAAGTGAAACAACATACCAGTCTAATCCTAGCTACGAGGTGGCACTGGCTATAGAGGAAGGTACAGCAACAGCCAAAGGAAACTAAGAAAAGACTACTTGACTGTTCTTCTACATACATTCCTTTACATTTGAGTATTAAATAGATGTGTAAGATCTTCCATACTGACACCAGAATATCAAAACTAACCCCTGGATTTTTAGGTATATTTACAACATAATTATTTCATGGACAGGTTTTGTTAGGAGAGATATCAAACACCAATATTTACTTAGTCTAATCAGTAACCCTCAGGGAAATGCCAACCCCCACCCCCCAGAAACGTGCACAAAACAGTTATCAAAATCTTACCCGACCATATAGCTATGATTTTGTAAAATAACAACTCAGACGACCAGTAACATGATCCTCTTTAAGCATTTTGCTAGCAGGAAAAGCCCTTACATGCAGTACACCTGGTGAAAGATCAGCTTGGCTTAAAATATTCCAGTACAATTTTCAGAGTAAACAACTTCACAGAAGTTAATAAAAAACATAAAAATGTAAAACTTGTCACAAAGAAAAGGAATAAGATTAAAAATAAAAAGAAAAAAGGAAGACAGTAATCATCAGGAGGGAAAATTCTGCCTTTTTTTTTTTTATCCTCTAAAAAAAGTGGATTTTTAAGCTTCCTAACAATATGCCCAGGGCTCTAGTTTCAGTATATTTATGAAAACTTCTTTTTCATTTACATCTCCTATATGATTTTCAGTCACATCTTAACAGGGCATAAATTCATACACTTTTCAATACTCTGATGGTCAGATAATGCTATATTATTGTATTTTCAAGGTCTTTGAAARTAAGTTGCCATTGAACAAGCAAAATTAAACCTGAATACAAAATTATTTTTAACAACATTTAACAAAGGTAATACAACTGCCTTAGATTTCCAATATTTAGTTTAAATTAAAAACAAAACAGTACAAAAAAACAGCAATACCATCTTGTTAGTCAGTGCAAACACTACATACAGGGTTTTCAAAGGAAAGCCAAGAGCACCTGATACTTTTTGCCAAGTCATCTGGATTCTATAGTCTGCAAATGAGAAYTGTTAATAGAAAATAAAAGAAGAAATAAAACTGCTGTTACATTAGTGCATAACCTCTCAAAATGGTTGAAAATTTTCATGTTTAACTTGGGGAAATCAATACCTGGTACATTAGCTGGAGGACTTAGGCACTTGATTTACTTTTAATAACTTTACTTTGAGAAGTAGCCTGTGCATGTGTGTATTATCAATAGTACTAAAGCAGAAATTGGGGGAAAATATGGAAATAAAAGGCTGCAGCAAAGCACTGCACCACAGACCTGCAAATAATGCAGCAGTGCAAAGCTAATGGTGTGTTAACCCTGTAAAAGAGTCTCAAGTCCGAACCCCCACTTCTCAGTCTTCCAACAGGAAACAATACTCCATGCAAAGTTCCACAACTAAAGAAAAAGCAGCTGCAACAAGACACAAGTTCCTCTCTCATGAAACAAAATAGAGACAAATAAGTTAGTTTTCCTTTCACTAGATGTATCATTGTAGGATCCTGCTAGTTTAAATAACTGAGTTGTTAGTTTTCTACAGAAGCCATTTTAAACAAGAATGGCTCAGATACCGCACTGGATTGCTACAAACTCATAAAAAGCTGCTTTAAGCTTAAGTAAAACAAATGTCCAAATTCCATTTGTTTGTGGAAAGTGAACGCCTTACCCTAGTAAGTTTTTTTTTTCTTCAGAATGCTAATGCGAGAGGGGCTTGAAGTATCAAAGAGTCCACAGGAAATGCATGACCCCAATATTATTCTTAAAAAAAATATACATTATATAATATATATTATATATATAAAAAGCTAGTGTAAATGCTTCCATGGTGTGGTCACGAGCTAGAAAGATGAACGCCTTTCAGCTGTTAACCATCCTGCCATTTGCAACAGGCTTTAAAAAGTCATTTTTATCCTCAGACATAATGTGAGCAGTTTTCAAAATGAGGCTGCCAACACTGACTGACGTGCTGATGGGCAGGCAGCTTGCATTGCTAACAGATGTTGTGATCGGCTGACTGAAGCAAGAAGTTACGGGCAGGACTGTTTTCTGCTCCTCCCTGAAGAGAAAAATAAGTCACAAATATTAAACAAGTACATGCACAAGTATCTGAAATTCAATTGTGTGCATTAAATAAGCACAACAAACTAATTCTTAGCATAAGCAAAACATCTAAAAAGGTAATGTCCAAGAYATTAAATGAGGTCTGCCCAATTTTCAAAGGCTGCTTTATGTGTTGTTATATGCATATTTTTCAAAGCTATCTCTATTGAGATCTGTGCAAATAGTCTGACATTTAATCTTTTGAAACTTTCCTTAATTTTCTGCAACTATAAAAATGTTTGTGCTGAGCATTCAACAGCTATGACATGTTTCAATATATATTACTATATATGTTAAATATTATATAATTATAATATTTATTATATATTAATATATATTCAACAATGCATATGAAAAACTATATGATCCTGCAACTTTCATGTTTATGAACTAATTCTATTTCCTCATGTATACCCAATGCAGATGTCCAATTCAAATCTGAGCAGCTATGTAGTTCATTCTTAAACAGCCATGCTTCAACTATCCTGATTCTGCTTTTTTGGTCTAATACTGGCAGACACTGCTATTTTGTCTAACACTCACAGAATCACAAGGTCTTCACCTAAACTTTGTCTCTTCTGCTCCACAGATTCTTTCTGGTGTTGCTTTAACGGATGGCCATTCTCTACAGTTGTTCCATTGAGCAGCTGATCATCTTGAGAACTAATACCTAGCTGTATATCCAGAATCTCCTACAGAAAGGGAGAAAGGTCCATTAATACTGTCACTATTGGCTTCAGATTTTGTCATTATGTCTCACAGCATAAAACTGATAGAAACAGGAGTCTTCTTATTCATAAGACTCCTCAGTTATGTTTAATTTCACACCATCAGAATGTATCACGTTTTACACTCTTGCATACAATTATCATAAATATCTAACTTAAGAAATCATAAATTTACCAGATTACTTTAAAAATTAACGGGAAAATTCAACTGGAACTTTTTCAAGAAGCTCCCTAGCTTCACATAGACACCCTCATCAGGCATTTCAGAAGTCCTGGCAACATTTCTAAACTGTAGTTTCTCTTGGGTTTATTCTCCCCACCTCCCCATCACACACGCGCGCGCGCACACACACACACACACACACACACACACACACACACACTATTCAATGCTACCAAAAAATGTATAGCTGAAAGCTATTACAAGAAAAACAGTAGATATAATTTGACTGTCAGTACTAAGGTTTTTATCTGAACTGTAGAGGTATGAGACCCCCTAGTGTTAAAACAGTACAAGTGCCAAAATTTTTAGTGTCAGTATAAAATTTAAACACCTTTGCTATCATTATAAAAAAAATTTACAAATTCTAGAAGTTGTTGAGTAACCAGTGAGAAGACCCAATGACTTCTCCAGATGCACAGTTTTTGTACTTACTTCTACTTGTTCACCTTGCCCATCAGGTTCATCTGTATCAAGGGCTGACAACTCCAATTCAATGTCTCGATCTGGCTTTGCATCTGCACAGTCTTCACTATAATCAGTCTGAAAAAAACATTAAATACATTAAATATGAAGTAGGCTTTTCACTAGCTGTATATAACACAACTACTAAAAGCAAAATCAGGAAGTGCATTTCTGGGCACAAAACAGCTAATTAAATACAAACAGAATTTTGGGCATAGACAAAATAGGACATACAACAAGATCTGACTTCATTAAGTCAGTGAAATAGGAGAATGAGTACTGGCATTTCCTGTAGAGTCTGTTGGCAGAGGATTTACAACATCAACTAGAGAAAAGAGTAAGGATAGTGTGCAAGTTGGATGGTCACATTCTTGCCTTTTTGTAAATGGAAGATTAAAGCAACACCACAGCAGGCATATGTACTTAATCTCAGGGAAGTAACTAAGGGCAACAACTTAACTTGCACAGAATGTATTATAAATATTTAGGAATGTTAAAACTAAGAAAGMGTGAGTTTCAGTGTGCATACATAAATCACCAATATCTCAAAGATCTCTTTCATCCCAGTCACCCCTTACTTTACCTCACCATTCCTCAAATCAATTTCCTTGCTTAAAAGATTTAAGGTAAGGCGACTGCCTTCATCTAGAGAATTCCACTTCTGTTGCATGGCTAGTGCATTCGCCTCTCTCTGAAGTAATAATGAATTACTTTTGGCCTATGGAAAGAAACATACCAGTTACCTACAACTACACTTAACCATACATTGTCGAATGGCAAAATAAATCATCTCGCAAAAACAATAGTCCTCTCTCTAGACGTACAACTACGTACATCTCTGTAGTTGTACTATATACAAACTTCTTTTAAACRGACAGCATTTATTTTGTTCTGGTTTTGCTGTAATTTATCAGGCCTATTGCTCTTTCCCCAAGAACAGTCTTACTGGGGTCAATGGACAAGTCACACTCACAGTCTTTGTGTATCATACTAGGTGTTCACAGTGGTAATGTCCAGCTAACTTTTACTGATGATTTTGTCAATCACATTAGTTCTGTTAAGTTATACAGAGAAACAATTTATTTAAAAATCACTTCACTCTATGTAGTTTTATACATGGTATAGCTTATCTTACCTGCTGTAATTCAATACTCAGAAGATCTCCAGTGCTGGAATGCTTTCTGTGTCCAGACAAATCTGTAACTATGAATCTGTCCCTTTAAGAGAAAGTAGATATTACACCATGCAGGTGAAATCAGGAATTAAAATCAAGCCCTCTAAATTAYAGGCCTCTCATACTTCACTAGTGTCTAATGTTATTTTTCCAYGTAGTTTGTGTTCAAATGCATAACAAGTTCAGCCAAATACTCCAAGGCACTTGTATCAAAGCCAGCCTTAATTTACATGCATGGAATGTATGTAAAAAGCAGGAAAACTTGRAAGAGCCGACTCAAGATAACAGATTTTGAGATTACAGCTTGGAGATGACCCAACTCAGTTCTCTGATTAGGCCTCTCAAGCATAATATTGCTAATAAGTGAGTATTTATAGCTGTACTAGTATTCAATACACAACATTAAATAAGAAAACACAGAGAAAAAGTCCATACCGTTCTGCATAACGCGCTGATGAAGTGGAATCTGTGCCATAGGAACTCCATCTTGAATCAACAGCATTGACATAAGGGACATAATCTGYAACAAATTAAGATACAATTCATTTTCTCCTCCATTCTCACAGTGGGATAATACAGATACKTCAAGCACACATCCATCATCTACATCACTGCAGTAAGCAATCACAAGAAGGACCAAATGGTGTTGTGAAATATGCTGTACTGACAAGAGGCAGCCTGTGCTTGTACCTGATACACTGATGGGCTTAGTAGCACTTCCTTGGGAAGCAGTGGCCTGAATAGGATCTGTTGTGTGGTAGCCAGTGCGGGATGATCTGGAGATGGCACCCCACTTGGAGATGATCGGTCCATCACTAAATGGGATTATAGGATCCTCCTCCTTTGCCCTTCTCTGAGTTTCAAATAAATGTACTCTCCGTTTGACATCTCCACTGTCCAAATCCTACACATTTGAGAGACAGAAAAAGATATAGGGACTGAATTGAGATTGTTGGATGATTCCGGTGACAAATGACTTTGTCATTATCATTAGTAAACAAGATGCTGCTAATCTGCGCCAAGACGAAATACAATGATTGCTCTTTAATGGTAAACTAAAAGAAAAACTAGAAAAGCTAAACCAGAAACAGTGCTACAAGTAATAGTTTTGCTTTTTCAAGCTAGTGTTTCCAGTTGGGAAAAGGTCCAGTGTGCTTCAGGAAGAGAGGTTTATGCCCTTCAGCACCCTTCCCTGTATTTGAAGGAAGCAGTATAAAGTGGACACAAAATACATTTGTTTAAACTTGCTATATAGACTACAAAGGTAGATCTGCTGTGCTACATCACAGGAAGCCTTCCAAAACCATAAAGACTTACTGATAAAAAAAAAAAAAAAAAAAAAAAAAAAAAAAACCCACACCCAAAACAATCACCTGCTCCCAAACAAAACTGTATTCAATGATTTTTTTTTAATTATTTCTACAGTATTTAAGTTAGTCTTTTCTTTCATGTAAGTTGGGTGATAATTTTTTTCCCCCCATGGATTTATGTTCATCGAGTTGTTTATTATAGGAAATATATTTCCATAGATTATACTCTAGGGAAATAGTTCATGTAGATGCTCTGTAGGCACAGAGCAGCGAAGCTGAAGTTCATGCTAATTATCCTGGGACCACAATATTTTAGCTTTTTTTCATGTTCTTTATAGAAAGCTACATTGCTCATGGGACTAGACACCCTGAAACTGGTAGCGTAACAAATCTCAGAGTCCAGAAAAGCACAGTAATTTACTTGTACAACATGGACAATTTTATTTAAGCTAAAGTGTTTTGTAATGCATGACACGCATATATGTAAATAAGTAGCAAACAGATTAGAAAATGCTTTTAAGGGTAAGGAATTCTCATTAACTTACAGACCACATACTTGATGTTGCCTATGAGTTCAATTTACACGGAACTGCTATTTTAGGCAATTAATTTAAACGCTTAAGAATGCTATTCATAACACTAAAGTCTGTCACTGAAAAAAAAAAAAAACATGTGGTTTACAAAACTGAAAAAAAAGATATTGTAAATGATTTCAAGAGGGCAGAAATACTTTACATGAAAATGCCAAGAATGGAATCTATTGGGGAGGTGAGCTTGTTTAATCAAATGGAAGACACTTCAGCATGTAAGTACCATTAGATAACAGGCAGAAAAGCCCTACCATCAGAACAGCATTTGAGTTGGCAATCACATCCTTGGGCTCCGAGTCAATAGCATTTATACAAGAGCCAATAGTGCCACAAGACCATGGGGAATAGTGGGAGAGATGATCTTCCTCAAATTTAGTTCCACTCAATTCACTGACACTCTCCGAGAACTATGAAAAATGAAATAAGTAAGTAATAAAGATAAAAACATTCAGTCTTAAAATAAAGGACATTGGCTGCTGTTTAATGAAATCACCTCAAAAGTCAAATCATGGTTTAATCCATATTCAATCCATATTCACCTTTCYGAGAAACTGCACAATTCATTCACTGCCGACTTTGAAACTGTCACAGCTGACAGCTGTTAAAAATGGCAAGGTTTGCCACTAGAAATTACTGCCTGCCCTGCCAACAAGGTTGAAATCAGTGCTACCACATTAGTGGTGAGCTTCGAGTCAAATATTTGATCTGACTGGAGAGGGAGCCACGAATTTCTGCTTTGAAGCAGAAGCCAGTGGCAGACACAGAAAGGCTTAAAAACCTCCAACCTGGATGACGACCCAACCCTGACATACCCTGAGCACCCATGAGGGACTTCAGGTACACACCTACTGTGCAAGACCTTCACGTCCAAATGATCACCGGGTAATACCTCAAACGTTAACAACATCACTTTTATAAAGGAAGCTGTCAAGCCATAGCAAAGACATCTGCAGGCATTTTCTAGGATGTGTTTAATTTACATGACTAAATACTTCAATATTGATTCTTATTTTTCTGCTTCAAAAGAACACATCCTATTTCCAATGTTAAATTTCTTTCTTGTTTATTCAACTGTGTCATGTAGACACACAGTATTTTGCCAATGCCTTTTTGCCTCTTTTGAGGAATATGTATTCTCTTGGACTCAAGGAGCATTTGCAGCTTGATTCAGTCTATTCATCATGTTATAATGCTATTAGGAGCATAAAAGGGAAAGTGATTCTTAATGGAAAACAACTGTTCCCTACATAATGTTCACAATGTAGTCAATGACGACATCTTCAGTGAAAGTAGTTAAATCACTTCTTCACTTCTCGACCTTCTGTCAACGATCATGCTTAGCATCAGCTTAATGCCAAGCTGAATTCATTTTTTTATTGGATAATACTCTCCTTTTGCTATAAGATTAGCTTCATTTTATGAAAAATAGATGGCAGACAAAATTCTTACTGGAAATATTAAATGTTATCCTACAGAACCAGGAAGGGAAAAATAAAGAAGTTCTTTGACTTCCCACCTCTGTGCTGAAATCTACACTGAAGAGAGGAGATGGTGGTGTTGGAGATGGTGTTGCCATAGGAAGGGTTGAGGATACAAGAGGAGTTTTCTGGGTGTGATACTGTGCCCATTGCTCCGGCTTCCGTCTTAGCTGCTCATCATAACCAGTCTTCAAGTGACCACAAGGCTCCTAGCAAACAAAAAGTATTAAGACCATATATTCAAAAAGTATTCAAAAGTATTAAGAGAATATACAGAATATATTACCATATTCTAAATGGTAAATAATTTTTTTTTGGGTGGGGGGGGCGGGGGAAAACGATTCAGTGTCTGGAACCTTCCACTGATATCACTGGAAGAATCGCACAAGGATCTCAAAAAGAATCTAGTCTTTTGCAGGATAGCTCAATCCTTAAATATGTAATTAATTCAAGCAACATACACTGAAATAGGAGACAGTAGATCTCTCGTTCTAATTCAGAAAGCTAGCAATCTATTCTACAGGACTACTTTGCTAAGAACAAAACAGAAGCCCAGAACATATTTCTTGACTATTCCAACCCAAACTAAACAGAAGAGATCTTTACTAATTATTTATCCAGCTTTCACTCATGACATCTAGAATTAAGTCTGCAACTTTCCCTGCCCTCCCACTCTCACTTACTCTTGGTAAAGGCACAGTCCTCTGTTCATTTGGAGGTTGGCAAGCCACAGAGTAATACCCATCCAAAGAGTTGTATCTCTCACGTAATGATGTCTGATAGACAGATGAGTGCATCACATCCATAGGAGGTAAAGAATTGCTCCTAATAATATCATCTCGTGGGTACATCTGTGGGCGCCAGATGCGCCTGCTGTCATAAACTGGAGCATACATTCCAGAAGGGACAGGAGGAACTGGTCCATACGGCTGTGGAGGAGGAGGTTGGTAAGGAGAATTCAGTCGATCTCGAGGGGGAAACGTACTGTAATGATCGGCATATGGCACGGAAGCAGGTGGGAGGGAGGATTCTGGAACGTTATTGGACCTCACGAAGCGAGGAACACAGGGAGCCACACCAGCTGGTACTGTTGGAGGTGGTGGATAATATCCTTGAAAATTGGAAAAAGGAATTATTTAATGTGGTCACAAACGACCTAGAATTTTACACCTTCTAAAACTGTAAATACTGTTGATAAATACCTTCAGAGAGCAAAGTGACACATTTCTACAAATCCCTTTTACCAATCTGACCCCATTTGAGAGCAATAGCAGGAAAAACAAAACAAAACCACTTTCCAGTGTCTTATGCTACAACTGTAAATTTTACTGAAAAGACATAAAATACTACCTCTTTACACATGAGGTCAAATAGCTGTCAAACAAAAAAGCCATATTACTAATAAAAATAAAAATTGGATTTCAGCAATTTCAAAGGTCCATAAATAATTAACACTTGGCTTATTTCCCTCCCCAAGTGGCAGTTGTCAAACATCTCTACCTTTTGTTTCGAGACATAGRAACTACTTATTGCTATAATGAACTCCTAAGAGTTTGCCTGAATAACCCTATATTCAGTGATGGAACCAATTAGCGTTATATTAAGTACTTAAATAAAAGTCACAAATGTGAAATATAAATCTGTGCTAAGAAATAGCTCATCTAGATGAAAGTTCAGAGCTTACTGTGAACTATTCAGTGCTCATCTTACCTGTCTGGGGGTACTGTGGAACTTCGTAGGACAGCTGAGTCCTGGGGTCTTGGAAATATTGAACGTTATCAGAATGCGGAGGGTAGACAGGTACTCTGGGAACAAATGGGCTTGATTTTGGAGGCACAGAATTCACTTCTGTCCCAATATTAGGGGGAACAGCTGAGGTAGCTGCTGCCTGGCTTACAGGAGTCTTGGGTGGAGAACCAATTTTACTGAAAAGGATTACCAACAAATCATTAAGGAGATATTTACTTATTTCAGTTAGTCATCTCTAAGTCTCCCATGTAACGTGAAAATTTGGGTCATGTAATTTCCTCTGGAATTTTATTTTTCATGCCCCAAACTGCATTGTTAAAACCTCAGAACAGACTTCATCTTAAGAGATCTCAAAAGCTCAGGAAAATATACTGATATGTACCCAAAAGCCTACACACSACTTGTAAACGTATTGTGGTAAAGAAATACTTTTTTAAACAYTGTTTTGAGGCTCAATGCTCTCTAAAGTAGCATCTAAACAGTTATAAGGGAGACCCAAACCTTCTAGGATTACAAAAGGATGTTTTCCTATAAAAATCACCACATATACTGTCATTGCAGCTAAGAAATACAAATCGCATTTTTTTTAAAATAACTCAATACTAAGTTAAAAAACAGGTTAAAATGTATTGCTTTGTCTACRGCACACATTATTATTTAAAAGCTAAAACAACTGAAAACAGTCCTGACCACTTCAATCTACACCCACTGAAAAACAGTATCTACATTACAGTATGAGTTTTTGTACGACTCTACACCCAGTAGCCATTAATGACAAATGCAAACAGGGACAAGAATTCATTAACTACTGTTTGCCATTCACAAATTAGTTTGTCATGATAATCTAAAAGGAAAAAGTTCAGTCATTTTAATGCAAAAGTTTTACCTACTTTTCAGGTAGTGATTCAGTAGGGGACCCAGACACATTCTGGCCATTGGCTCCAGCCTTCCCTCCCTTCTTGGCATTTTCCAAAGCTCTCAGGGATGTGTCTGCACAGCGAGGAATCAACTGGGGAACACCACTTTCTAGATTAGCTATTCCATTAGTACTTGGCACCATCTTCCCTGTTGCTTCAGGGCTTCCTATGACAGAAATTACGTTTCCTGTTGTGGTTGAGACAGTGCTATTTACGCCAACTTTATTTAGAAGGGGGAAGGTTCTCACTGTTGCGCTGATTTTTTTGTTTCTCAAACGATACCTATATAGAAACACATGTGTAAACACAGAAAAACACAGATGACTGCAGTTTCATGCACTTGTAAAACTGATCAAATAGAAGAGACTGAAAGGAACACAACACTAAAGTTATAGGATTTTAAATTGGTTCCTATTTTCAATCTAGTTTAATCTGCAAGCAGAATAACAGGTTCCTTCCTTTAACCAAGGATCATTTCCTCTTAGGAGATCCATCTGAGCAATTCTTTGGAAGTGGATCTTCTTTGGGTGAAAAGAGCTTTAATGATGCATACATATTATCAGCCAAATAACTCACTTTTGTCCTTAATGCAATGAAAATCTCATCATCATTCTTCCTCTTGGCGGTAGCATAACATACCAATGATGGGCATGCAATGAAAATCTCATCATCATTCTTCCTCTTGGCGGTAGCATAACATACCAATGATGGGCACTGAGCCTAAACTTCTTTTTAGAAAAGGAATTTTTGCTTCATATTATGTAAAATAAAAAGTATTACTGAAATTAATTTACAGACTATGCTTTACTGTATCTTCAACTTTTTATATAAAGAGTTCAAACTTTAATGAACACAAAGATCCTTCAGAAAAGATTCATGTGTAGAAGAAGCTCTTTTCAATGGCTTGGATTTAAATTGTAGAACATACATAATACCTCCCCTACTCACTTTTCAAGCTCTTCCTGAGAATGAGCAAATGTACAGTTGGTTCCTCTTGGGCATCCCCCTTGTTGTCGGAGGTCTCGGCACATGCTTGTTTTGTATTTGCTATTTGGTTGTGGCTTAGAATACAGAAATAAAAAAATATTTCATTTACATTTTARTAACTTCACATAAAAATACATGTGTGTACACACTTAAAAGATATCCAGAATGTTTTGACATTTTGCATTTAATTGACAAGCTATGAAAGTTGCTTGTGGAAGTTGTGCCACTGTAGTGAGCTTGCTGCAGTAAGCTTTCCTGTATTCAACATTCAAAAGTGTTAAGTTCTCAAAACCTGAACCCTGCAAACAACAGTATCATCAATCAAGGCCMTAAATATTTCAAATTGGCAGCTATTTTCCCCAGGTTAGATCTTTTACTAAACACACATCAATACATAGCATGCAACCATCAAATAAGCGTTACCTGCGGAGTTTCATGGCCTTTTCTACTGTAATTCTGAATGAAATCCACAAGTCCATGTACCACAGTCTTTACAGCCACCATTGCATTTTCCAGCTGCTCCCATGTTGGAGACGCTGCATCTAAAATTAAGAACAAGTTTCTCAATCTGTCAGTGATTCCAGTAATATCATAAACAAGAAGAAACTTTTCTAGCACATCAAAACACCAAATATAAGGACAGAATCCTGAAGAACTGTTTATAAAATGCCATGTTGATTGTCAGGAATTGTGAAACCAGGAATGGAGGTAGTTATATTAATAATTTCCTTGTCTGGATATKAAAAAATGTACAGAATTATTATTTTTAGAAAGCTTCATTTACATACCTGGATTTGGATCTATGTTTGCCAGAAGCTCTAAATGAGGCCTTAGCCTGTTTAAGTTTGCAGGATCCCCTGTGCGCTGCAAGACAATTGTCAACTCTTGTACACTCTTCGCAAAAGATTCTGGAGATTGAAGCTGAGAATAAACTGAGCATTAGTTTGTTGCATCTTGTAACTGGAACCTATTTCAGATGTTTTTGATTGCATTTAGGAATCAGTGTAATAAACTGTGTCTTCAGATGGCATACAGTAACTATCAGTGGAGAGATTTCATTTCTCAGCTCAGAATCTGCCCTATGAAGCTTCATCATAAGACACAGAGTAACTACTCGGGAAAAAARGTCCACATGTAAAGACTGCACTACAATGTCGAAAAAAAGTCCTTCACTCTAGTTTTAATGAATATTTGATACAATTAAAGACAGAAAGATAATTGAGGTGGCTCTACGATTTCCAGATCCTTTAATAGCCATATCTAATCCTACCACAACACTAAACCATCTCTTTGACGAACCTTGTCAATAATAGATTGCATGTGTGACTTATGTGCCAAGTCACCATAAAGAAGGGAAGACCATTGTTCTGGTGATATTCGAAGTCCTGCTTCCATGGCAATGTGAACAATCTGGGCATCATGCTCTCTCCGCAAAGCCTCATAACTTCGAAACTCTTCTTTAAGTTGCATCAGAGAAGAATCTTCATCTCTTTTAGTAACCTATAAAAGTAGTAATGATTACCACTCTTTCTTTAAAGCTGTTCAAGTTCAGCAGTTACATAAGACAAATTTTACAATTATATTGATTTTGCATATTTAGAATATATTTTTTCTCTTCCAAAAAATCATCCCTTTAGATACCTACACAGAGATAGAGCATTGACCTTTCCAAATTTTTATATGAACCCTACTGCAAAACTATAGTATTAACTCTACTGCTTCCAACTAAGAAAAAAATAATTTCATTTAAGTCACAGAACACAAGCAGTTAGCTGACACTCCATTAGAGACTACTGATTTTGTCTTACCGTCTAATATTAAAAGACGACTCAAAGAAACAGGAAAGTCTGTAGAAGAGACTTAAACAGTAAGAAGGAAGATTTTTCTTTCCCCCTCCAATAGCTATACAAGTGCACATCTACTCCCTTCGCAGGGAACTTTAAATATCAGACAACTAGTTCACCCTGTGCGCTGGGTGTTCCTGCTGGAGCAGTGGGGTTGGACTAGATGATCTCTAGAGGTCCTTTCCAACCTCAATTGTTCTGTGATTTGGTGATCTTAATAATACAGTGGGATTTATCTTACAGAAATTTCAATTTCTAGAAGACCAGCTATTAAGCAAAGTAGTGTAGACTATCAAGAATTTATCTAAAACCACCTAATCACGTGAACAGGTAGAATCCAAATTTATATAACATGCCACAGATTGAACATACTGATGCTTAGGAGCAATTCTTTGTAATTACATTAGTCTACATAACTGTAAAGCTAAAACATTAGTATTTTACCTTAAAGCATGATGCTCTATACAGTAGCTGCACAACATGACCAATGCTTGTTTTGGAGGCCTGAGGAAATCTTGGTTCTAGCCTTTGCACAACAAAAAGTACCAGAACTTTTCTTGAGAGTGCGGAGCCATCTTCCAGCGCTAGTAACACAAGTTTCAGTGCCTCCTCTTGCATAGCTTTAACACACAAAAACACAAAGGTAGGTATAAAAACATACTATTAGGAAACAGCAAGGTTATCACATAAGGCATCATAAGCAGAATATCTCAAATGTCTTGAACACAAATCCTTGCTATCATTAATCACAAGAAAAAAATAAGCAGTGAAAACATTACTAACAAAACATTACTAGCATTACTACCATTACTTCTGCTTCCTCCCTGTCATAAAACAACATCTTCAACTGCACAGAAGATATCTCCAAGGAATGCTTCTGTGTTACAAAAGGTTACAGTCAAAAGACCCTGCAAATACCTGGTCCTAGAAACTGGCATCCTCGTGCTCTGACAGCAGCCCAAAGATTGGCAGAAAGCTGCTGAGGATTTTGGTGCTGTAAGATCAGTTCTGTTACAGTTCTTTCTCCCAGGGATCGAGCTGCTCTCATGGCTCTAACTCGACCTTCTTCCTCCACCAGCTGACAATTGACCAGTGTCACAAGCTTCCTTTGCATCGGACGGCTCAGTGCACTCTGATTCAAGCTAGCAACACCTTCAAAGAAAAGGACAAGTAATCAACTATTACATTTAATATGACCAATGTACCTTGATAAATTAAGACAAAAATGTTTGTGTGCATATATTTTACTCTAGGACTTGCAGACTACAGCTGAAGTTCAACATTAGTACAGTGTYGGTCCAAAGAAATCCTAACAAAAACATGAGTAGTTTGTAAAGTTAAAAACCAAAGATGGAAGGGTCATGGGTGYGAATGAACTTTTAAAGACTTAAGGGAAAATTTAATCATGAAAGTGAGACGATGATGCTACTGATACCTAAAAATCAGYCAATGCTGAAAATAAATGCTGTTAAAGATTAGCTGACATGCTATATCAAAATTACACTGTTCAGTAAAGACTCACCCTTTCCTCCACTTAGTGGCTTTAAGTAGAGTGCCAAATCCTCAACACACTTCTTTGCTACTTCATAATGTTTGTTCTCTCCTACATTACTCAACTTTACTGTCTGATGATCAGGTACCTAAGAAAATGCAAGGAGGACAGGGGAAGAGAGCGGGATTATATACACCTGGATGACCTGCCCGATAGCCTGCGATGATATGAACATCTCCCCGGTTAATTATGTAACACTGCAGATGTACACTGCTTTTCAGAGCAGTGAAACAGGACCCATGTGGAATGGGAATGTGGAATACAGCAAGACAAAACACAAAAGACTAAAGATGAGTATCACAGTGCTGAAAGATTACTTTTATTGATACTCAACACATTAGGAACAAAGCAGGATAACATGAACAATAACCAAGCACTAATGACAATGTACTTAACAGATGTGTGAAGAACACAAGAGCTTAGAGGATGATCACTGTACAAAAAAAAGTATGATTTACTACAGAGAGACAAGGGAAATTGCAAGACAAAATTAATAAGAGCATAATATGAAAAAAATAGAAGCTTAAGAAATTATGTTGGCAAACAACTCCAAAACATTCAAGAACAATAAATTTAACCTGTTGAAAAATGCAGTAGACTCACAAGGTCAGATCATACAAATAAAAAGGATATTTGTCATGATATATTAAAATACTTAAGGGGAGAAGTGAGGAGATCAGAATAAAAGCTGTACGGTTAAGGCAATGATTATGAAAAGTTTAGAAATAGAATGAAAAAACAAGTGAACTTCAGAGGCAAAAACACCCTGGCATGTGTAAGGAGAACAGACTTTTAATTTAGTCTCCGTGAAGTGCAATACTGATTATATAATCACTGTTTTGCCACTGCTATGAGACGGCTCAAGGAACATTCCTGGCCTGATGAGCCTGTGTCTGAACGTGCAACTGAAAAAAACATCTTCATGTATTAAAACAAGAGAAACTCTGCCCCGCCCCCGTTAACCTTAGTTAAACAGCTAGCTGCTTCTGGACACACAATGCGTATACATGAGATTCCCCATGACATTACAATCAATAAGTGCAATCTGCAGGTTCACTTTTTCTAACTACAACGGTGACACAGAATTGTTTCATTCCTAAATGGTACTTTTTGCCAGACACAGTGCTATCCACCTTACCATGATGGAATTCTCCCCCAAAAGCACACATTAGGCACTTCCATGCAGAAAAGTCTAGGTATCAAGAGCATTTTAAGAACAGAATTTGGTTAATACAAAAAGCTAGAACATCTTTTCATTTTATAAGAAAGGGACAGTCCTGAAAATGATGTGGTTTCTTTTACAGCACATGGGGATTTTAAAATCCTACAAAGACATCATCTTATATTTTTGAGACTCAAACTACTGTAAAAACAGTGCATGCTCTGTAGCCAGAACATAAATTGTAAAAATGTGAAGTGACAAAACTAAAATCTCTTTATATCCTACCTGGGCTCCAACTAACTGGAGGAGTGCAAAGTTTACAGGAAGCACATCGATGTCTGTATTGATGGCAGTCTGGTCGAAGGGACATGCCTTGCGATGAAGTTTGTTCAGGCAGGTCTTGCAGACAGTGTGAGAGCATCCTAAGCTGATGGGTTTATGCACATTTTCATCAAACTCATTGTAGCAGATTGGGCAGGACAGAAATTCTGTCCACTGAGCTGCCTGCACAGGCATTGTGGAAGCTGGACACTTGTTTAGCAGGCTAGTAGACCATTATTTCACTGTATTGTGTTTTGGCAGCTGTAAGTGATAACAAGAGTATTTAAAATATGCTTTCTAGTCATTAAGGATTTTTTTAAAAATTTAAAATCCCCACCAATTCAATATTTTACAGAATAAAACCAAACCCAAAAGTTGAAGTGCTCAAAAAAAAAAAAACAAACAACCACAAAAGGTTCATAAGCTGAATTAATGCAGACTACCATAAATATATGTTGCACTTATTTACAATAAATAACTACTGAAATTCTTCCCACAGGATTAAATAAACCTTTGTCATAAAAAAGGAGGAAATCACTTACTGGCATAGCAAACAAAGACATAATCACAATAACTGTATCTCAAAATCTCACCTAAATTCAATTTTTTGAAATCTTAAGCATTCCCTGATTGTAGAATGGGAACTGAATTGGGGTGTGGGAAGGTGTGGGGAGAATAAAAACAAACAAAACTACTTATTTTTATGGGAAGCAAGTAGAACTAGATTGTTGGCTTTCCCTGGGCAGATCACATTCAGGCTAATTCAGACATCAATCTGAGCATCTTTGTTGTTGCTTAGAATGAGAAAATACTGAAGGAATGAAAGATTGGCTTCTTGTTTGCATTCCTTTCCCTTTCTCCTCAAGGACCCCTTAGAGAACTCAAGAAGGGCTGTTTGCTGCACTCAGTTTTTGCTTTACACATCTTCTCTACTTCACACAACAATGCAATCTACTTCAAAAAACTCAGAACAAGAAAATATCTTATGTACTGAAAATGCAGGTATTTAGGTCAAAACTTGTTCAAGATAAGGCAAGTATAACTTCAGTTGCCTTGTTATTAACAACCTCCTTTTACTTGAAATTCAAACTCTGTGCAGAAGTACCATACAAATCATTTATTTTTCTCCCCCAAAAYAAACAAACAAAAAACACACAAGAGGAATTCCTGGAAACTGTTCTGAAAGACATGCCATCTTACATAACTAAGTTCTAGAAAAAAAAACAGAGCTATGAAATATTTACATTCAAGCTTTCCTCATTCACACCTTCATGTAGCGGCTGAACAGCCCCACCCTGTGCTGCAACGTGCAGCAATATTGACTTTCCATGCAACCTGCAGACCAGTTAGCTTACTTCTAAGCAGTGGACAAGCCCAYCCTAGCAGATTGTTAGAAATGCAAATACAAGCATTTTAATCGATTTTAATAATATATTTTTTCCAATGATGAAAAAAGGGTAAATATTTTGAGAAAGTCAAGATCCCCCCTCTGTATCTGAATTCAATAACTGTTAGCTGTGATTCCACTGTTGGCTACTCCACAGTTTAATTAATGCTAACGTATTGGGCCATTGAAATAATTACTGGAACACCAAACAGACTCAATGTGTAGATGTATTTTAATTATAACCATCTGTTTAGAAATTCTATTTAGCACTACGAACATTCAGTGCCCTTTAAGTAACAGGATACGTGTACAAGATGTCCTTCCCAGGGAATTTTTCAATATTATGCAGAGATTTCCCCTCAATAAAAAGAATGAATTCTGATAGTAAATGTAGAACAAAACAAACTGAAAGTTGAACCTGTCCCTTGAAAAYCAAACCACGGATGCAAAACTTTCAACGTAAGCCAGAACATTCACATGCATTAGACAAAACGGATTTTCATCTAACTTGCAGGGAAAAGTATCAAAAGAATCAAACTGCAAGGAAGAATACAATTTACTTAATATTGCTACATATATTCTTTAACTAAGGAAATACTAAAGCAAAACAAGTAACTACTGAAACAAATGAGTCAAAACATCTAAAATATCCTCAATTTCTCTATAAAAGCACTCCACCACTTCAACACATCTACTTCRGCTTCCTTACCAGAATAGTAGCACAAGAAACGCACAGAATTGCGRTGCAAAGCTTTCCAGTGAACACTTTCCTTAGAGCTTTGACCAGAAATGACAAAACATTAACACGTGTGTTACTGCTGACCTAGTAAAGATACCAGTGGTTTCTCACCTGCCTGAATACACCCCGCAGGTACTGGGGCAACAGAACCTCTCTGCCAGGGAGCCATCGTGATTCACAACAGCAGGGTTTAAGAAAAGGCTAATTCATAGACAGCTCAATTGCTAATATACTGTTAGGTCACTGAAAAATCTCCTAAAACACAGTCTTCCATTCTACACTTCTCAGCCAAGTCCAATGCAGGAATCTCTATGTGCTGACAGCACCCACATTTAATTTCCACAGATAGACTTGCAAAAAAAACTTGCAAAAATAACCACCTCTCTCTTCACAAGCTTTTAAAATAGTTAGTCCTCTGTTTTCCTGATCAACATAGAAATAAAACAAAACAGACTCCTCGGAGACGGCACCATCCATTTTTAAAGATCTATCTTTTAATAGTTAATCATCATAAATGACAGGCTCTATTGAGCATGTGTTGAYCTTCAGATTTCTTTACAGGAAGATTTCTAATTAAAAATCAACAAACAGCTGGGAAAACCATTCAATTCCTAAAATTCCAAGCAGACATATACAGAGAAAGTCTCCACACTCTAAATGTGCCAGCTATCCTGCCATTTTTGCACTCTAGTGCATTAAGAAAAAAAGATTTAATATCCCTGAATTCATATAGACTTCTACAAAAAGCATAAACCAACTATGTAATACACCCCTGCTCCTCATCAAAACCCAACATATTTTATAGAAATCCTTCTGAAGAACTGCATAATTCTAAACTGAACAAACATAAGGAAGCAAGCAGACTAAAGAATGTCAACTAAAAATCATCCTGTTTTGTAACACACAGTATGCTCAGTTAGTACAATTCCTGTTCATTCTGGTACTCCAACTATCTATGTCTACACAGGTACAGGGCTTCTCTTCCCTGTCAAAGAACAAGCTCCTTAAAAAAATATTGCAAGGAAATAGCGATAAAGAAACTAATCAAATATACAAGGCAAACAGTTTAAGAAGAGATGGTAGTTAACCACTTAAGTAGGTTTATGTAGCATTGCTAGAAGAAATTGTATAGCATTAGCTATTAAAAGCAACACTGCAGATGACATACTGAAAAAAACTCATGTCTAAGTTCAAATGTTAAATAAATAAATAGTTATGGTGAAGCCTACTTTCTCTTTCTACTGCAGAGGCAAAACATTATTGTATTAATATTTGCAAAGGAGTCTAGTAACAACAATAAATCATTGCTTTTYTCATGATAATTTTAGAACAGCGTATTTGATGGAACTGGAGGGTGGGAGCCTTGAAACCTTTATCAAACAGCTGCGCCATTTACCAATAAAGGAAGCTGCAAGATTTCCATGTTCTTACTTTAAATTAACTTTTAACTACTTAATCTCATTACATTCTTCAGAACTAATCCAAGTAAATGTACTGTTTCAACAAGCTTTGGATGGGGACCATAAATATCACGTAAAGCCTGTTTTCCTAGGGAACCCAAGCTCTGTCGATCATGCTGCTCTGTTAGCCTGTTCCTCTCCCATGGCAACTTCAGAACCTCCAGATGTATTTCACACAACCTGACAGAGATACTTCCAACATGAAATAAATACTAATGAAAATGAAAATCAGCACCCGGGGAAAAAAAAGTTTGGATTGGTTCTCCAGAAAGCCCATAGCATCTCCCTCCTCAGCAACTGTCCAACCAGCATGTATGTACCAGCCAACCAGGACCCWGTCACAAAATGCATCTTGTTCAGATTTAACAAAGGCCATTTACAGGGCACAGACCTGGCACAAACCTGTAGAAATTTCATYTTCACTCATGCTACCTATCACAGAACAAGTAGATAGTTCTTCAAAGGCAAGAGGGCTTGGTCTTGGATGGGCAATATTGTGCATTTGGCATAAAGCCTCCTGAGTCCAGTCTTAGCACTCAAACAATGCAAGGAGAAGTTCTGGAGCCCTGTGACAGTTTGGGGCCAGCACACGGAGCAGATGCTGCCTAGGCTAGCAGGCTAGGAACTCTGATGACAGCGCAATCTTAAAATCTACTCGACCCGGAGCTTGGAGGCTAACCCCAGAAAACTGAGGCTTAATTCTCCACAACAGAAATAAACGACCTCAGCAGCACACAGGAATAGAGAAAACGATATTCTTTTGTTAGTGATGGTAGCATTTCCTTACATCTTAATTCACTAACTAGCATGCTGAGATACAAATTCAACTCCTTTTAAATGGCTTTAATCCATGTTTATACCTCACAAAAAAAAAGCATCCGAACACACCACATGATGGGTTACTTCAGCACTGAGACACTTCCAATGACACTGAAGCTATTCCTTGCATAAAAGGTGTGCTGAAGATTCACCAAAGACAACTGCAGCCTAGTGCTAGCTGCTTTAACAGGTAACTTCTTTGAAAATGAAGCAGAATCCAGATCATTTGTTCATTTTTACTCAGCAGTCTTTGGAGAAAATCTAGAAATAGCTTTTAGAGCAAAATTCAATACCTCCTTCCCAGCTACATACCCCAATTACTAGATAACATGGTGAGCATGGGTCTCAATCCAAGATAACCTTATTTTCTTCAAAGAGAAACAGGTTGAACAGGAGGTAGAGCCAGGGCTTCCCATCAAAGCTGCACAGTGCCCAGGGCTTTGGGCATTTACCAGACTCGCATGCGCAGGTTCCAGCCCTTTGAATGAAGGCTGCACTCGGGGCCTAGGCAAATGCCTGGGAGAAAGCGAGAGGCGGCAGCGTCACSAGCAGCCCTGCAGCTCCGCAGCGGCTCCGCTCTGCTCATGCCTACTCCACCGGCTCCCCTTGGGAYGCAGGCAAAGGAAGCTCCAGGAAGCTGAGCGTTCATGAGCATGAGACACAGAATCAYTCATTTGGTGCCGAACAAAAAGTCTTTTTCAGAAACTAAGCAAAATCTTGAAAAACRGATAGGATCACCTGGAGTTTTCAAAAATTAAGGGAGCCCAATTACAATCTCACTAATTATACCTAAATCTCTTAGAATTCAACTCTTTTTTTAGCTACTAAATTAA